GGCAGGCCGCGCTTCAGAAAGGACACTGTGAGTGGGGGTCCGACTCTAGTTCAAGCCCGTGCCTGAGGCAGAAGATCTGTGTGACCCCACCTTAAGAGGTGAGGCCCCTTAGGGCCCTCAGTTTTCATATTTGTAAAATGGGTGTAATAATAGGGTCTTATAGTGGATTGAATGGTGGTCCTCAAAGGTCATATTCACCCAGAATCCTACAACGTGAGCTTACTTGGAATAAAGTTCTTTGCAGCTGTAATCAGGGTAATCATCTCAATATAAGATTATCCCCGATTAAGGTGCGTCCTAAATCCAATGACAAGTGTCCTTGTAAGAGCCAGAAAGAAAAAGACAGACACACAGAAAGGGTCATGTGAAAATGGAGGTGGGGATTAGGATGGCGCTGTCACAGGCCGGGCGCAGTGGCTCACGCCTGCAATCCCAGCCATTTGGGAGGCCAAGGCGGGCAGATCACGAGGTTAAAAGATTAAGATCATCCTGGCCAACATGGCGAAATCCCGTCTCTACTAAAAATACCAAAATTAGCCAGGCATGGTGGCAGGCGCCTGGAATCTCAGCTACTGGGGAGGCTGGAGCAGGAGAATCGCTTGAACCCAGGAGGCAGAGGTTGCAGTGAGCCAAGATCACGCCACTGCACTCCAGCCTGGTGACAGAGTGAGACTCCGTCTCAAAAACAATAGAATGATGTTGCTACAAGCCCAGAGAGCCTGGAGCCTCCAGAGCTGGAAAGGGAAAGGGAGAACCCCGCACTGGTGCCTTTGGAGGGGGTGTAGTCTCACCAACACCTTAAAGAGAAGGTGGAGACTGAGGGACAGACAGATGGGGGAGCAGGTCCCAAGACCCTGATGACACTTCCATCCTTGGCTTCCCACTCTTGGCTCTGATTGGCATCGTTTGTCCTCAGGGACCCCAGGCCTCCCACATGCGCTCTCATCTGTGTACCCCCAACTCCTGGCTGAGCGTTCCCCGTGCCCCACCCACCCAGCCTCAGGCCCCTCACCCCTGCTCCCCATTGCTCTCACCGTGACCTTCCATTGTCTCTGCTCCAGCCGCAGGGTGAAGTTTGCCACCTGGACCGTGATCACCCTGGTCACACTGACTTGCCCATTACCCCAGGCCACGTTCTCCTGCAGGACGGCAAACGAGGGCAGCCCAGGCCGGGTGGTGCCGCAGGTCTGAGCCAGCACATACACGCAGGTGCCCATGAAGTCGAAGCGGCGGCCGTCGAAGGTGGTGTAGTGGGGGTCTCCCGACGCCTGGCAGGTGGCAGAGCCCACGGCCACACAGCCCAAGCTGCCACCCGATGGCTGGCAGACCTCATGTGGGCCACAGGTAGAGGGCTCGCAGGACACCAGGCCACCCTTCTGGCAGTGGCAAAGGGAATCACAGCTGGGGCCCGGGTAGAAGGTCTGGCCTGGCGGGTGGTAGCTGCCCTGGTGGATGCAGCCACAAGAGGCCAGGGGCACACAGGACTCACCACTGAGGGCAAAGCCCTCATCACACACACAGCCCTCATGGCATTCGGAGCCACAGCCCCCGGGCACTGGGAGGTCTCCACAGGACAGCGGGCAGCCGTAGGAACATACCTCGTAGTGGCTGTGAGGTGGGCAGCTCAGTGCTGCAGGGAGAAAGGACATCAAGATCAAGAATTCCTGCTCCCAGGGGACACCGGTGATCCCCCCAACACATACGTATGCATACACACACATGCTCAAACACACATACGAGTGGTCCCGTTGCAGGGAGCTTGGGAACATTACCTCACAGTTAATCTGATCCTCACAATTACGATTCTCCCAATTTAACTGTGATTTAAAGTTATTTATTATGCTTCTTTATTTTTTTTGAACTAGAGTTTGCTCTGTTACTCAGGCTGGAGCAGCAGGGTGGTGCTCGCTGTCGTGGCTCACTGCAGCTTTGACCTCCTGAACTCGAGCAATCCTCCCACCTCAGCCTCCTGAGCAGCTAGGACTACAGGTGTGCACCACCACGCCCAGCTAATTTTTTCAATTTTTTATAGAGATGGGGTCTCACTGTGTTGCCCAGGCGGGCCTCAAACTCCTGGGCTCAAGCAGTTCCCCTGCCTCAGCCTCTCAAAGTGCTGGGATTACAGGAATGAGCTGCCACGCCCGGCCTTCTGTTATGTCTTTAATGACCTTGTTCAAGTTGGATACAGGTTGTTGATATGTGGTATATATTTTAAACATGCATATGCAAATATTTGTGTGTATGTGTATAATTTGTGCAGTATATTTGCGAATGCAGTACTTTTAGCTTCCTTCTATAGCAGCAATTAAATTAAAATATTTAGCAAGTGTTGAAAAAAAAAAAAAAAAAACCTCCTTGCTCCCCTCCCCAAACTCCAGTCACTCCAGTCTATAAAAAGCAAATCTAGCCAGGTGCAGTGGCTCTAGACCAGCCTGGCCAACACAGTGAAACCCTGTCCCTACTGAAAATACAAAAATTAACCAGGTATGGTGGCAAGTGCCTGTAATCCCAGCTACTAGCGAGGCTGAGGTAGGAGAATCGCTTGAACCTGGGAGGCAGAGGTTGCAGTGAGCTGAGATCGTGCCACTGCACTCCAGCTTGGCGACAGAACGTGACTCTGTCTCCAAAAAAAAAAAAAGCATATCTAAGTGACTAAAACTGAACCACATTAAACCCGTATCTATGCTGTCTAATACACTAGCCACTAGCCACTTGTGACCATTTAGATGTAAGTTAATTAAAATGAAACAAAATGGAAGACAGCTCCTCAGTCGAAACAGCCTCATTTCAAGTGCTCAGCAGCCACATGTGACCTGTGGCGACCTGGTACGTATTTGAACAGCTCATATATGGAGCTGTCATCACTGAAGTTCTGCTGGGTGGTGCCGTTCTGAAGCTAACATCCAGCTTACAGGAGAATCACGGAGACATAGAGACAAGTTCAGTAACACACCAAAGAAGCAACTAGCCAGATCACGAAAGTAGGAAATTCAGCAGGATAAATGACCTGTCTTTTCCAATAAATAAATAAATGACATAAACAAAAGGAAAAGATGGATGGAGGAATAGATATGCGATAAAGCAAGTAAGTGAATTAGAATTAGAGTGTAGAGGCCCGGCTTGGTGGCTCATATCCGTAATCCCAACACTTTGTAAAGATGAGGCGGGAGGAACACTTGAGGTCAGGAGTTCGACCAGCCTGGCCAACATGGTGAAACCCGTTTCTACTAAAAATACAAAAATTAGCCAGGCATGGTGGCACATGCCTTTAATCCCAACTACACGAGAGGCTGAGGTGGGAGAATCACTTGAACCCAGGAGGCAGAGGTTGCAGTGAGTTGAGATCACGCCACTGCACTCTAGCTTGGGCAACAGAGTGAGACTCCGTCTCAAAAAAAAAAAAGAAAAAAAAAAAAAAGAATTCGAGTGTAGAGTCCAGGAGGTGGGTTTGTGGGTCTTCCCTGTAAAATTCTTTCAACTTTTTTGTATATTTCACAATTTTCATACTATGTTGGGAGGAACTAAAGAAAGAAATTCTGACAGAGTAAAAGCGTGAAGGTAGATCAGTCCAATGCAGTATATGTATTTGGTTTGCTTCTAGAGCCACTTAGGGTCTTATAGTATCAGGAATCTCTAAAACTTCTTAGACCTTTTATAAGAAGTCTGTTTTGTCCCAGGAGGTTTCACGCCCCAGGCAACACACCTTGTGTTAGGATTCAGGATGGATGGGGATTGCACTGCTTTTTATTTACTTATTTATTTTATTTGAGACAGTGTCACTGTGTCACCCAGGCTGAAGTGCAGTGGCACGACCTCGGCTTGCTGCAACTTCCACCTCCCGGGTTCAAGCGATTCTTCTGCTTCACCCTCCCAAGTAGCTAGCACACCCAGCTAATTTTCAGTATAGACTAAGTTTTGCCATGTTGGCCAGGCTGGTCTCAAACTACTGGCCTCTGATGATCCCCCCACCTTACCCTCCCAAAGCGCTGGGATTACAGGCATGAACCACCACACTCAGCCTGCACTGTTTATCAGAAATAGGCTCTTGCTATGTTGCCCAGGCTGGTATCTAACTCCCAGACTCTAGGGATCCTCCCACCTCAGCCTCCTGAGTAGCTAGGATTATAAACATTCTGAAATCTTAGTCATATATGTGTATGGTTGCAGCAGAGAAGTGTGATGGGGATTCTGACACAGGCTGCCAATGGTCACGTCTTGATTCTGGGCACAACCATGGTACTTGCTTTGGCCAATGGAACACTAGCAACCATGATGCCGAGCAGAGCCTTAGAACGTGCTTGCACACTGGGGCTTGTGTGCTTCTGCCACTCTTAGGAATCTTGAGGGCACCTTGGGAAGAAGCCTGGGCTCACCTGCTGGAAGATGAGACCAAGTGGAGAAGAGACAACAGGTCCCAGCTGGGGGTCCCCAAAACCAACCAGCTGGACAACTGCCAGATGTGTAAAAGCCCCCTAGATTTACCCAGCCTCAGCTGAGCCTCCAACAGGCTGCAGACACCAACCAAGCTGGCCCAGGCTGGGGAGAACACCTCAGCAGCCCCTGGCATCATGAGAAAGAATAAATACTTGGCCAGGCATGGTGGCTCATGCCTGTAATATCAGCACTTTGGGAGGCTGAGGTGGGCGGATCACTTGCGGTCAGGAATTCGAAACCGGCCTGCCCAACATAGTGAAACCCTTTCTCCACTAACATTACCAAAAAATTAGCCAGGTGGGGTGGCGGGTGCCTGTAATCCCAGCTACTCAGGAGGCTGAGTCAGGAGAATTACTTGAGCCCAGGAAGTGGAGGTGGAGGTGGAGGTTGCAATAAGACGAGATTTCGCCCCTGCACTCCAGCCTGAACGACAGAGCAAGACTTCATCCCAAAAAGAAAAGTTCTTAAAGTCAATAGTTACCATTTGTTAGAAATTATAAGTTTTGTAATTATTTCAGGTAAAAAACTAGATGTGTATGCTTCCATTAATTCCAAAATTTAAAAACTGCAGAAGCCAGAATAGTGGTTACCTCTTGGGGTTGGAGGCCTGGATGTTCTTTTTTTGAATTTGGGACTGTTCACACAGATTTGTTCTCTTGTTAAAACAGATCAAGCTGTTAGCTTGATATGTACATATTTTTGAATATCTGTATATTTCAATAATAAGTTTTAAAAATTAAAAATCAGGTGAGAGGAACCTGGTACAGTGGCTCGCACTTGTAATCCCAGTACTTTGAAAGGCCAAGGCAGGAGGATTGCTTGAGCCCAAGAGTTCGAGCCCAGCCTAGGCAAAAAAATCAAAACCCTGTCTCTGTAAAAAATATTTTAAAAATTAGCTGGGGTTGGTGCTACTCAGGAGGCTGAGGCAGGAGGATCACTTGAGCCCAGGAGTTCCAGGCTGCAGTAAGCTATGATTGCACCACTGCATTCCAGCCTGCACAACAGAGCAAAATATCATCTTAAAAGAAAATCAGATGGAGCACTTTGGGAGGCCGAGGTGGGCAGATCATGACATCAAGAGTTTGAGACCAGCCTGACCAACATGTAGAAACCCTATCTCTACCAAAAATACAAAATTAGCTGGGCATGGTGGCGCATGCCTGTAATCTCAGCTACTCAGGAGGCTGAGGCAAGAGAATCGCTTGAACCCGGGAGGGGGAGGTTGCAGTGAGCAGAGATCGCATCATTGCACAACAGCCTGGGCAACAAGAGTGAAAAGAGTGAAACTCTGTCTCAGAAAAAAAAAAAAAAGGATTAAAAAAATAAATAAATAAATAAAAATAAAAATTAAAAAAAATGACAAAGAAAGGATTAAATGAATTAATGATATTAATACACTAATGAATATATATATAAGGTTGAGTCCTCCAGTTGTCATTTGCGATACTCACGGCAAAGTTCCTCACTCCTCCAGGGGTGCACTGTGGCTCCAGCAGCCTGGCAGGCAGCAGCGTAGGTGGCCAACGCGTCACACAGTGGCCCAGACTGGCCTGGCAGCAGGCAGCGGTCATAGACACAGTCGCGCACGGCACCCTGGGGGTCCAGCTTGCTGTGGCACTTCCGGAAAGGCCCCTCGGGATCAGCAAGGATTCCACACTCTTTCTTGCTCTGCAGCTGCTGGGTCACCAGGGAGTCCAGCTTGGGACAGTCACCTGGTTCAGTTGCACCACAGCCGGGCCTCGTTTCTTCTTGCCAGCTGTTCCCAAAGGCCAATGCATTGGCAGCTTGGCCCCCACCCCGCAGAGCCAGGTCATCAGCTGGGTCCCCATTGAAGTTCCCGCAGAGTCCACACAGGGCCTCAGCATAGCTGCTGGGCACCTTGGCAGTCACTCGTGCATCCCAGTTGTAGGTGACGGTCAGGCCAAAGTCGGTGCGCACGACGGCATCACTACCCTGGCGGAACACCTGCACCTGGCCATCTGCTGCTTGGAAAGGCAGGTACTGAAGGACGCCGTCCACCTAGGGTGGAGATGCAAGAGGGCCGTGTGGTCAGGGTATTCACGGCTCGCTGGCCCATCCTCCAATTCACTCACCTCTAGCTGCCCTGATCTCTTTGCTGTTCTCTTGGACACATTATGCTCAATCCCACCTCAAAGCCTTTGTACTTCCTGTTCCCGCTGCCCAGCTCACCATTCAACCCTCTTCATTCCTAAAGCACCAGCTTAAATCCAAGTCCCTCACCCATGGCCTTCAAAACATACATGATCTATCTATCTCCCCATTACCTCCCTTGCCTCACCTCTTCTCACTGTCCCTCTCACTCAGGCTGCTGCTATCATGCTAGCTTCCTTTTATTTATTTTTATTTATTTATTTATATATTTATTTATTTATTGAGACGGAGTTTCGCTCTTGTTACCCAGGCTGGTGTGCAGTGGCGCTATCTCAGCTCACCACAACCTCTGCCTCCTGGTTCAGGCAATTCTCCTGCCTCAGCCTCCCGAGTAGCTGGGACTACAGGCACGCGCCACCATGTCCAGATAATTTTTGTATTTTTAGTGGAGACAGGGTTTCACCTTGTTGACCAGGATGGTCTTGATCTCTTGACCTCGTGATCCACCCGCCTCAGCCTCCCAAAGTGCTGGGATTACAGGCGTGAGCCAGCGCGCCTGGCCACTATTTATTTATTTACTTATTTATTTTTATTAGTTTTTACAGGGTCTCACCCTGTCACTCAAGCTGGAGTGCAGTGGCACACAATATCGGCTCACTGCAACCTCTGCCTCTGGGGTTCAAGCTATTCTCCTTCCTCAGCCTCCGGAGTAGCTGGGATTATTACAAGAATGAGCTGCTGCACCTGGGTAATTTTTTTTTTTTTTCTAGTAGAGATGGGGTTTCACCATGTTGGCTAAGATGGTCTCAAACTCCTGACCTCGTGGGCTACCGTGCCCCACCTCTGGCTTCCTTTTTAAAATAGAGACGGGGTCTCACTCTGTCACCCAGGACAGAGTGCAGTGATGCGATCATAGCTCACTTCCTAGCACTTTGGGAAGCTGAGGCGGGAGGGTGGCTTGCACCCAGGAGTTGGAGACCAGCCTGGGCAACGTAGTGAGATCCTGTTCTCCACAAAAAGGAAAAATGAAAAAGAAAAAAAATTTTAAATCTTCTAACAGACCTCCCCATCCCCAGCCCCACTCAGAGCGTTTCCTGTCCCGACACCCAGCCCCGGGCACCCGCGTCGCTCACCAGCACTTGCCCCGGGTACTCCCGGCGCACCGCCACCTTCACCCCGCGGGCCTCCACCCGCACAGCGCGCGTGTAGCTCACGGTCTGGCTGCCCCGATGCTCATTTTCCACCAGCACCCGGAAGGCGGGCAGCGCCGCGTTCTGGCCACACGAGCCGACCAGCAGGTACGTGCAGGTGCCCATGAAGTCGAAGCGCCGGCCGTCGAAGCTCACGTAGTGTGGGTCCCCGGACCCCTGGCAGGTCCCGAAGCGGTCGGGGTAGCAGCCCAGGAGGCCGTTCTGGACGCTGCAGCGCTCGCCCGCCGGGCAGCCCTTCGTGTCGCGGCAGGTCACCTGCTGGGTGGTGGTGCCGTTGCAGGTGCAGCGCCTTTGGCACAGCTCGTCCGCCCACACCTCCTGGCCCGGAGCGAGCAGGAGGCCCTGGAAGGTGCAGCCGCATGACGAGGCCGGCACGCAGGCGCCGCCGCTGGCCACGAAGCCCGGGAGACACACGCAGCCCTCCACGCACGGGCGCCCGGAGCAGTTGGACGGCGCCGCAGCCCCGTTGCAGGAGGCCGGGCAGGCGGGGCCGCAGAGCTCGTAGCGGCTGTTGGCGGGGCAGGTCAAGGCTGCAGGGAGATTGGAGATGGTGGGTCAGGCCGGCGCAGCCAGGGCCGTCGAGGGGCCCCCTGTCCGCGACAGCGCCCAGGAATTCCCCTCCCCGCTCCCCCCCCCACATCCGTGCTCTTCTCTCAGAGCTCGCCATCTCAGATAATGGCACTTCCATTCCTCTGGGTGCTCCTGCGCCCCATCGCTGAGATGCAGTTAATCTCCACCCCACCAGCCCCCTAAAGCTCACTGGACAGCCCATCTGTCAGCAAGTCCTGTGAGCTCCATATTCAAAATCCACCCAGCCTGACCAGGCCTGGTGGAGCATGCCTGTAATTCCGGCTACCTGGGAGGCTGAGGCAGGAGAATTACTTGAACCGGGAAGGCAGAGGTTGCATTGAGCCTATATCGTCCCAGCCCGGGCGACAGAGCAAGGCTCTGTCTCAAAAAAAAAGAAAAGGAAAAAAATCCACCCAGTTACAGAATCTGCCTCTGGTCCTATGCACCCCAGCAGCCTCCTGCCTGGGCTCCCTCCTGCCCCTACAGCCTGTTCCTCACACCAGCCAGAGGGATCTGGGAACATCTGGGTCAGATCAGGTCCCTCCCCATCTCAGAGCCGTCCTGTGGCTTCCTCTCACTCAGGGTAAACACCACAGTCCTCCCCATGCCCCAGGAGGCTCTGTACCATCTGCTCCTCTCACCTCTCGGCCCTCACCCCCTCCCACTCTCCCTCGTGCTCACTCTGCCCCAGCCCCAGCTGCCTCCTCCTCCCTGGTCATCCTGCTCCAACCTCAGGGCATTTGTATTGGCTGTTTCCTCTGCCTTCCCTTTCCTCAGAAAGCCCACTGGGGCCCAGGTGGCCTGGGTTCAAATCTCAGATCTCTCCTTCTCGACCACTGACTCCAATCTCCCTATGCCTCAGTTTCCCCATCAATAAGATGGGCTAATATAGTCCAGACCTCACAAGGTTGTTGTGGGGATTAAATGAGTTGATCTCTGGAGAAACATTCTGTGGACATTACTGTTAGTACTTAGCTGACTCTGTTGCCTGATCCTGGTCTCAGCTCCAATGTCAACCTGCCCAGAAAGGCATTCCCTGATCACCCTCTTCATGAGCCTCCCAGTCACTGTCACTGCATGAACCTGTTTCTTTGGCTCTCTGAAGAGACTTTCTAGTTTATCTGCTCACTGTCTGTGTCCCTCCCCTCCCACTAGGAGGCAGGTTCTACAGGAGTGGGGACCTGGTCTATCTCAATCACTGCTGAGTCCTCAGCACCAAGGACAGGGCCTGGCGTACAGCAGGTGCTCAGGAAATACTGCAGAAATGAATGGGAGGAAGAATGAATTCTCTGGTTCCCATTTCGTGCCAGCCATTGGGTGGGGGTGGGGGGCTTACTGGGCAGTAGGGACAGAGCACTGGCCAAGACAAATGCCCAGTGGCCTCTATGTCTCCCTCATACTTACTCCCCCTCCCTTGGGCCTGGGGCTGGGCCTGGGGCTGGGCCTGAATGCCTCCTCCTCCCTCCTGCCTGTCCTTTCTGCCTCTGGGACATGTCTCTAGGAGCCTCACTGACAAGGGCAGGAACAGATCTATGCTGATCCTCACTGTGTCTTCAGTATCATCAGCATGCACAGGGGGGCAGGCAGGGGTTCAAGGAACGCTTGGGGAATGAATGAGTGAATGATTAAGCAGATGGACATCTGGCTACAGAGCCTGGACTTTATCTAGAGGGCAATGGGAGTCATAGGAGGGTTATAGGCAAAGGAAGAGACGTCCGCTTGTCTGTGTTGGGATTCTGCAGACAGGAATTCCTGTCGTGCCAAGCCTTTGAGCGTGCTGTTCTCTGGGTCTGCATCTCACTTTCTCCTCTTTCTCTTGGCAACTTCCAGCCCCTCCTATGGGTTTCAAATTAGACATCCCTTTCTCTAGAAAACTCTCCCTGCTCACCCCTGCTCCCCAGAAGCCTTCTCTTGTTTCCCACAGCCCCAGTGACTTCCTCCATCCTGGCCCATACCCCATGCCTGTGCCCCCCCACAATCCCAGCCCTAACTCATCTGCCTATCCCTACCCGATCCTGGCCCCAACCCCTCTGCATGGGCCTCCCCATCCTGCCTGGAACCCTCCAGACTGTTAGTGTCTGGTGAAACATCTGCTCCAACCTTAGGCTCATTGTGGACAGAGCTGGCCGTCTTGGCCATCACTGGGCCCCTGGCATTGCCCAGCACCAGGCTGAACTACAATAATTTCTCAGATATTAAGTAGATGCCAAGGGTCCCCTACTCCTCACTGTATGCTCCCAACCCCCACCCAGGGCATCACTCACGGCAGTTGGCTGGTGACCTCCAGTCCCCAACCGAGATGCCAAGCTCCAGACAGGCCTGGGCATAGGCGCTGAGGCCACGGCACAGGCTGGGCCGATCCCCACCAACCACGCACAGGTCGTATACACACTGCTCCAGGAAGGGCCTGGGATCCAGGGTGTCATGGCAGACAGCGAAGGGGCCGTCAAGTTTGGTCAGCATGCCACAGAGTCGGTCACCCTCATAGTGCTGGGCCTGGCCTGGCGTGCAGGTGGGACAGTTGTTCTGGCAGCCATCCTCACACAGGTAGTCCCCATCATCCAACTTCCAGCTACTTGCGAACTCCACGGGGTCAGCAGCCTGATTCCCGTCAGGCATGAGGAAGTCGTCCGCTGGGTCACCATTATAGTTGCCACACAGCCCCCACACCTGGCCTTGGAAGCGTGCGGGCAGGCTGAGTGCCAACTGGCAGTCCCAGTCATAAGTGATCACCAGCCCGAAGACCAGCTCCACCACGGCCCGTGGCCCACTCTGGTACACACGCAGGCGACCCTCGCTTAGGGAGACTGGCAGGCGCGAGCGCTGACTGTCAATCTGCAGAGCAGGTGAGGAGGGGGTGGTCAGGCCCCTGTGCCATCTGGCCTCCAGCCCTCATCTCTGGGCCTCCCGCCTGCTCCCCTGCTCTGGTGGCACTGGGACTTATTCTTTCTGTTACTGCCACCATCAGAGACCTTGCCTCTTGCACTATCTGTGGCCTGAGATGTTCTTTCTGGAGATGTCCACATGACTCACTCCCATCCCTCCTATAAAATATTTGCCCAAATATCACTGATTCAAGCTTTCCCTGACCGCCCTATTTTAATTTTTTTTATTATTTATTTATTTTGAGACGGAGTCTCGATCTGTCATCCAGCTGAAGTACAGTGGTGTGATCTCTGCTTCCTGCAACTTCCGCCTCCTGGATTTAAGCAATTCTCTGCCTCAGCCTCCCGAGTAGCTGGGATTACAAGCACCTGCCACCATGCCTGGCAAATTTTTGTATTTTCAGTAGAGACAGGGTTTCACAATCTTGGCCAGGCTGGTCTTGAACTCTTGACCTCGTGAACCCCCCGTCTCAGCCTCCCAAAGTGCTGGGATTACAGGTGTGAGGCACTGCACCCAGTCTTACTTTATTTTTATTTTTACAGAGACAAGGTCTTGCTATGTTGCCCAGGATGGTCTCAACTCCTGGCCTCAAGCAATTCTGCCTCAGCCTCCCAGAGTGCTGGGATTACAGGCATGACCCACAGGACCTAGCCACCAACAAACTTTAAATGGCAGCCTTAGGCCGGGCACTGTGGCTCACGCCTGTAATTCCAGCACTTTGGAAGGCTGAGGTGGGTGGATCACTTGATGTCAGGAGTTTGAGACCAATGGTGAAACGCTGTCTCTACTAAAAGTACAACAATTAGCTGGGTGCAGTGGTACACATCTGTAATCCCAGCTATTCAGGTGGCTGAGGCTGAAGAATTGCTTGAACCCAGGAGGTGGAGGCTGGATCGCACCAAAGAGAGTGAGACTCTATCTCAAAAAAAAAAAAAAAAGCAGCTTCTCCCTACTCCTTATCTTCCTTCCTTGCTTTCCTTGTTTTCTACAGTGTCTGCCCTTCTAAAACATCATTCACGAATTGACCATGTTTATCATCTGTCTTACTCCATCAGAATGGCCGCTCCACAGAGACAGGGGTTTGGGTCTGCTTTGATTGCTGCTTTATTCCCAGTGCATAGAACAGGGCCTGGTAGAATCACAGGCACTCACTAGCTGAATTAAGTCACTGCTGCATCTAATAGCATTCACTGAGCATGCACTCTGTGCCTGGCCATGGGCTGGGAGATCCTGAGAATACGAAGGTGACCAAGACAGCCCCAGGTCCTACCCTCACAGGACTGCCAGTCCATTCAGATAAACAGAGCCATCACCAGACAGCGAGAGTTCGGAGGGGTCAGGGCTAAGATGAGAAAAGCACAGGCAGAAGAGTCAAGGCCAGGATCAGAAAGGCCAGGCAGAGGGGTGAAGGATGGGGTAGGGGAGGCACAGGCTGAGGGTTCAGAGCTGGGATAGTGGGGAGATGGGAGGCTGTGAAAACCCAGAAAAACAGCCAGATCTAACGTTGCAGGTCAGGGAAGGCTTCCCAGAGGAAAGAACAGTTGTGCTGAGCCTTGAAGGACCAGTAAGGGAGAGAGAGAGCCAGGAAAACCAGGAGGGAGTAGGATATTCCGGTGCAACTGTCCTGAGTGGACAGAGATCCTGGCCAGTCCATCTGGCTTGGTGTCTCCTGCAAAGCCCATGTGTTGAAATCTTAACCCCCAACATGATCGTATTAAGAGTAGGGGGAGGCCTTTGGGAGGTGGTTAGGTCATGAGGATGGCACTCTCATGAATGGGATTAGCGCCCTTATGACACAAGCCTCAGAGAGCTCTCGAGTTCTCTTTCCACTGTGTGAGGATACAAGAAGTAAGCCATCTGCAACCCGGCAGAGGACCCTCACCTAAGCCTGGCAGTGCTGGTGCCCTCATCTTGGACTTCCAGCCTCCAGAACTGTGAGAGACAAGGTTGTGTTGTTTGTAAGCCTCCCAGGCTCTAGGTATTATAGCAGCCTGAAGTCGAAGAATCGGGAGAAAACAACTGTGTCTCTTTGTGCCCCAGGACATTTTTTTTTTTTTTGGATGGAATCTCGCCCTGTCACCAAGGCTGGAGTGCAGTGGCATGATCTCAGCTCACTGCAACCTCTGCTTCATGGGTTCAAGCGATTCTCCCACCTGGGATTACAGGTGCATATCACCATGCCCAGCTAATTTTTGTATTTTTAGTAGAGACGGGGTTTCACCATGTTGGCCAGGCTGGTCTCTAACTCCTGACCTCAAGTGATCTGCCCGCCTCAGCCTCCCAAAGTGCTGGGATTACAGGGGTGAGTGACCGTGCCCAGCGTCTTTTTTTTTACTAATAAAAAAAATTTAATTAGAGATAGGGTGTCACTATGTTGTCCAGGCTGGTCTGGAGCTCCTGGCTCAACCAATCCTCCCACCTTGGCCTCCCAAAGTGCTGGGATTACAGGCATGCGCCACCGCACCCAACCTGTGCATCTCTTTGTTACTCTTTCCTTACACATTCTCCTAGCTGTGCCAGAGCTGAGACTTGAAGTGGAGAAAGTCTTAGTCAAAAGGATGGAATATGAAAAAGGGAGCAACAGGAGAGGGGACAGCATGAGCAATGGCCCAGAAGGAAGACAGAGCATTCACTCATTCTGGCTCCCAGCAAAGCCTCTGTGAGTCCCACGGTGTGGCCTGCTCTGTGCCAGCTGGTGCTTTAGACACTGCAGTGACGGAGACAGGCCATGGCCCCATGCTCAGGGCTCTCAGCCCAGGATGGCTGCTCAAATCTGCCTCTCCCCTAAGTCCATGATCTCCATTTCTATTTTTCTATTTTTTTACGTATGTATTTTTTTAATTTATTATTATTATTTTTTTTAATTTTTTTGGGATGGAGTTTCATTCTTGTTACCCAGGCTGGAGTGCAATGGCACGATCTCGGCTCACCGCAACCTCCGCCTCCTGGGTTCAGGCAATTCTCCTGCCTCAGCCTCCTGAGTAGCTGGGATTACAGGCACACACCACCATGTCCAGCTAATTTTTTGTATTTTTAGTAGAGACGGGGTTTCACCATGTTGACCAGGATGGTCTCAATTTCTTGACCTTGTGATCCACCCGCCTCGGCCTCCCAAAGTGCTGGGATTACAGGCGTGAGCCACCGTGCCCGGCCCGTATGTATTTTTTTTTAAGACAGTTTTCCTCTGTCGCCCAACCTGGAGTGTGGTAGCGGCATCATAGGTGTCTGCAGCCTCAACCTCCTAGGCTCAAACCATCTTCCTGCCTCAGCCTCCCAAGAAGCAGGGACCATAGGTATGCGCCACACACCCAGCATTTTTTTTTTTTTTTTTTGGAGAGATGGGGTTTCCCTACGTTGCTCAGGCTGGCCTCAAATTTCTGGGCTCAAATAATCCTCCTGCCTCAGCCTTCCAAAGTGCCAGGATCACAGGCATGACCTATCATGCCTGGCCAACCTCCATTTTTCTTTTTTTTTTTTTTTTTTTTTTTTTTTTTTTTTTTTTTTTTTTTTTGAGACGGAGTTTCGCCCTTGTTACCCAGGCTGGAGTGCAATGGCGCGATCTCGGCTCACCGCAACCTCCGCCTACTGGGTTCAGGCAATTCACCTGCCTCAGCCTCCTGAGTAGCTGGGATTACAGGCACGTGCCACCGTGCCCAGCTAATTTTTTGCACTTTTTAGTAGAGACGGGGTTTCACCATGTTGACCAGGATGGTCTCGATCTCTCGACCTCGTGATCCACCCGCCTCGGCCTCCCAAAGTGCTGGGATTACAGGCTTGAGCCACCGCGCCCGGCCTCCATTTTTCAATGACACAAATAATACTCATTCATTACAGAAAACAGAAAATGCACATGAGCAAAAATTAGAAAAGGAAAATCACCCTGTAGGCACACACATACAAACATATAGATCTGGTGGGGTTTTTCCTACCTTTAGATATATTTACACTTAAAAAAAAAAAAAAAGACCATGCTGAAGTCGCTATTTCATTAACTCCTCTCCTAACAATGTCTTGTGAGTATCCTACCGTGATTCTGCTAGTAGCTCTACACCTTTGTCAAGTCACTGACCTCTGTGAGGATCTGACAAAAAAATTAAAAGTAAGGCTAGGCACAGTGGCTCATGCCTGTAATCCCAGCACTTTGGGAGGTCGAGGCAGGCGGATCATGAGGTCAGGAGTTCGAGACCAGCCTGGCCAACATGGTGAAACCCCATCTCTACTAAAAATACAAAAATTAGCCAGGTATGGTGGCAAGCACCTGTAGGTCCCAGCAGCTCAGGGGGGCTGAGGTGGAAGAATCACTTGAACCCGGGAGGCTGAGGTTGCAGTGAGCCCAGACCACGCCATGGCACTCCAGTCTGGGTGGAGTTCAGGACCAGCCTGGCCAAGATGGTGAAACCCTGTCTCTACTTAAAAATACAAAAATTAAGGCCGGGCGCGGTGGCTCAAGCCTGTAATCCCAGCACTTCGGGAGGCCAAGGCGGGTGGGTCACGAGGTCAAGAGATCGAGACCATCCTGGTCAACATGGTGAAACCCCGTCTCTACTAAAAATACAAAAAATTAGCTGGGCATGGTGGCGCATGCCTGTAATCCCAGCTACTCAGAAGACTGAGGCAGAAGGATTGCCTGAACCCAGGAGGCGGAGGTTGCGGTGAGCCGAGATCACACCACTGCACTCCAGCCTGGGTAACAAGAGCAAAACTCCATCTCAAAAAAAAAAAAAACAAAAACAAAAACAAACAAGCAAAAAAAACAAAAATTAGCCAGGCGTGCTGGCGGGTGCCTGTAATCCCAGCTACTCAGGAGGCTGAGGCAGAGATTTGCTTGAACCTGGGAGGTGGAGGTTGTAGTGAGCCAAGATCGTGCCACGGCATTCCAGCCTGGGCCACAGAGCAAGACTCTGTCTCAAAAAAAAAATTTTATATAAATATATGTTGTGTATATATGTATGCACATGTGTGTGCATATATGTGTATGTGTCCATATATGCATACATGTTGTATATATATACATGTCTATATAGGTGTGTATATATGTATGTGTGTGTGTGTGTGTGTGTATATATACATACATACACAAAATATATATACAGTATGTATATTTTTTGAGACAGAGTCTCACTCTGTCACCCAGGCTGGAGTGCAGAGGCACAATCTTGGCTCACTACAACCTCTGCCTCCTGGGTTCAAGTTATTCTCCTGCCTCAGCCTCCCGAGTAGGTGGAATTAAAGGTACGTGCCAGCATACCTAGCTAATTTTTGTACTTTTAGTAGAGATGAGGGCAGGCTGGTCTGAACCCCTGACCTCAAGCGATGCACCCACTTAGGCCTCCCAAAGTCCTGGGATGATAGGCATGAGCCACTGCGCTCAACCCTGAAGTTGTTGAACAGGCAAAACTAACCTATGCTGGAAAAAAAAGTCAGAACTGTGATCACCTCGAGGGGTAGGTTGGGGATTGTTTGGGAAGGCACATGAGGGAATTTTCTCAGGTGATAAAAATAGTCCATATCTTTTTTTTTTTCTTTTTTTGTTCCTTTCTCTTAGTAGTCCATATCTTTATGGACAATTTGGTTACACATTTGCCAAAGGTGAACTATACAGTTAAGATTTGTGATTTTTATTATATATAAGTTTCATCTCCAAAATAAGCCAAAAGAAGTGAGAAAATATTGTATTCTAGGGAAGGACATGGTGAAGTCTTTTGGGTGAAATGTAGTGATGTCTGGAACTTTGAAGGGCATAGAAAATAAGGATTGTGGAGTGGACAGAGAGATGAACAGATGGATCAGTGTGTGAGCAATCAAGAAGAGTACAGTATTTAGAATCTAGGTGATTGGTGCCTGTAATCCCAGCACTTCAGGAGGCTGAGGCGGGCAGATCGCTTGAGGCCAGGACTTCCAGCCCAGCCTGGCCAGCATGGTGAAACCCCGTCTCTACAAAAACACAAAAATTAGCCGGGCACGGTGGTGCATGCCTGTCATCCCAGCTACTCGGGAGGCTGAGGCAGGAGAATCGCTTGAACCTGATCATGCCACCGCACTTTATCCTGGATGTCAGAGCGAGACTCTGTCGAAAGAAAGAAAGAAAGGAAAGAAGAAAAGAAGGAAAGAAAAAGAAAGAAAGAAAGAAGAAAGGGAGGAAGGAAGGAAAGAAGGAAAAAGAAAGAAAGAAAGAGAAAGAAAAGAAAAGAAAGGTAGGAAAGAGGAAAGAAAGAAAGAAAAGAAAGGAAGGAAGGAAGAAAAAAGAAAGAAAAAGAAAAAGGAAGGAAGGAAGGAAGGGAGGGGAGGGAGGAAGGGAAGGAAGGAAGGAAGAAAAGTTTAGATGATTGGCATCTGAGCATTCAACTTTGACTCTGCACAAGAATTTCAACTTTGGACATTTTAATATTTTCCTAACAACATGGCGGGGAAAAAAGGAAGTAATTGCTCTAGGCTGCTGTTATTCATATGAACTGAGTAGTAATGCATTTACCAGAGTCAAGACAGCTGAGGGAGTAAGAACAGGGACCCCAGAGCCAGTATGCCTGTGCCCTTACCTCCACCTCTTACTAGATCTGAGCCCTGGGGAACTTTCTAGCCTTGCTCAACCTCAGTTTCCCAATCTGAACATGTTCACAATAATAATGCCTGCTGGACAGAGCTTGTGAGCATTAAATGCATTAAGATGAGAAAAGTGCCAGGAAACATACCTGGCGCTTAGCAGGGGCTCATTATATTTCATTATTTGGTCAAGGTGAATCCCCCATTGTTGGATATTTAATTTCCTTTCTAACTAGGACAGTATTTTTTGTTTGTTTTTGTTTTTTGCTGTTATAATCCACGTTGGCATTCCCCCCACCCCATCCCACCGGGTGAACCCTGTCTCTGAATATCCTTAAAATTTCTAGATGTGGGATTGCTGGAGGGCAGGGTTCTAAGGTTCTGCTACTGATTTATTTGTTTGTTTGTTTATTTTTTCAGATGGAGTCTCACTCTGTCGCCCAGGCTGGAGTGCAATGGTGCCATCTCGGCTCACTGCAACCTCCACCTCCTGGGTTCAAGCAATTCTCCTCCCTTAGCCTCCTGAGTAGCTGGGATTACAGGCGTGTGCCACCACGCCTGGCTATTTTTTGTATTTTTAGTAGAGACGGGGTTTCACCACGTTGGTCAGTCTGGTTTCGAACTCCTGACCTCTTGATCCACCCGCCTCGGCCTCCCAAAGTGCTGGGATTACAGGCGTGAGCCAGCATGCCCGGCCGCTACTGATTTTCAACACACCCCCCCCCCCTCATCCCCATGGCCCATTTCTCCGCATCCTGGTTTGAGGTCGGCCACTGGGCTCTGCCTGCGCCTTGGGACCCGCAGCTCATGGATCTTAAGCCCCCGAAGCCTCCAGGAACTCACCAGGACGAAGCCAACTTCCCCGCGGGTCAGCGACACGGAGTGGCTGTAGGCGTGCACGGTGACCAGGCCCACGTAGGAGACACGGCGGCTGCCCCGGTGCTCGTTCTTGGCCTCCACGCTGAAGGCGGGCAGGGTGTCGTCCTTGCTGCACAACTCCGCCATCGTGTACGAACAGGTGCCCATCATGTCGTAGCGACGGCCATCGAAGGTGGTGTAATGGGGGTCGCCCTGCGCGCGGCAGACAGCGGAGGACTCCGCCACGCACTTAGGCTTCCCGTCCACCACCTGGCAGTGCTGCCCGGCTGCGCACTTCACGCCTTCGCAGGAGGGCTCCGCTGGGGCCAGCACAGCTGGGGAGGGAAGGGAACGGTGAAGAGAGAGAGTCAGAAGTGTCGGCAGGGGTTGTAATCCAAGCACTTTGGGAAGCTGAGGTGGGTGGATCGCATGAGGTCAGGAGTTCGAGACCAGACTGGCCAACATGGTGAAACCCTGTCTACACTGATAATACAAAAATTAGTGGATCGTGGTGGGACACGCCTGTAATCCCAGCTACTTGGGAGGCTGAGGCAGGAGAATCATCTGAACACAGGAGAGGGAGGTTGCAGTGAGTTGAGATCTTACCACTGCACTCCAGCTTGGGCACAGAGCAAGGAGGATGAGGAGGAGGAGGAGGGGGAGGATGAGGAGGAGGAGGAGGGAGGAGAGGAGGGAAGGAAGAAAGAAGGAAGAAGAAGGAAGAGGAGGAACAAGGAAGAAGAGGAAGAAGGAAGATGAAGGAGAAGGAGGAAGAAGGAGGAGGAGGAGGAGGAGGAGGAAAGAAGAGAGGAGGAGGAGAGAAGGAAGGAAGGAGGAGGAGGAGGACGAAGGAGGAAGAGACGAAGAATAAGGAGGAGGAGGAGGACGACGAAGGAAGAAGACAGTCCTCGCCGGGAGCGGTGGCTCAAGCCTGTAATCCCAGCACTTTGGGAGGCCGAGGCAGGTGGATCACGAGGTCAAGAGATCGAGACCATCCTGGTCAACATGGTGAAACCCCGTCTCTACTAAAAATACAAAAAATTAGCTGGGCATCGGTGGCCGGTGCCTGTAGTCCCAGCTACTCAGGAGGCTGAGGCAGGAGAATTGCCTGAACCCAGGAGGCGGAGGTTGCGGTGAGCCGAGATCGCGCCATTGCACTCCAGCCTGGGCAACAAGAGCGAAACTCCTGTCTCAAAAAAAAAAAAAAAAAGAAGACAGTCCTCAGGCCTCAGTGGGGAGGCATCCTGGAGATCCTGGAGCCCACCTTGCTTGGGAAGCTTGAGCAGTTTGCTCACAGCTGCCCATTTTAAAGGTGGGGAAAACTGAGGTCTGAAACACCACAGGAAGAGAGTTGCTCAGTCCTCTCTGAAAACCCCAGGTTTTCTGAGTCTCCAGTTTAACACAGGACAGCCTAATAAGGAATGGCAGAAACTGTCATTAAAATGTTAATTTGTGTTTTTCTCTCCCTTTTTTCCCCTCTTCCCTTCCTTCCCTCCAGGATCAAAAAGAGATAAGGCTTTTTCTTTTTCTTTTTTTTTTTTTAAGGACAGAAAATGGAAGACAGAGACTTCAGCAGAATGAAAAGGACTGTGGAGTCAGGCTGCCTAGGTAGGAATCCTGGCTCAACCAATTGGATCTGAGACAGTGGGCAAGTTGTTTTAAACTCCCTCTGGCTCAGTTTCCTCATTTGTAACATGGGGGTGAGGGTGATAATAACACCTCCTTCATAGGGATCTTGGTGGGAGGAGTTAGGTTTAAATAAGGTAAAACTGAAGACAGCTGGCAGGGCACGGTGGCTCATGCCTATAATCCCAGCACTTTGGGAGGCCGAGGTGGGTGGATCATGACATCAAGAGTTTGAGACCTTGATTTGCAGGAGCTTTGAAAAAAAAAAAAAAAAAAGAGTTCAAGACCAGCCTGGCCAACATGGTGAAACCCCATCTCTACTAAGAATACAAAAATTAGCCAGGCCTGATGGGGCATGCCTGTAGTCCCGGCTACTCGGGAGGCTGAGGCAGGAGAATCGCTCGAACCTGGGAGGTGGAGGTTGCAGTGAGCCAAGATCACGCCACTGCAATCCAGCTTGGGCAACAGAGCCAGACTGTCTCGAAACAAACCAACCAACCTAAGAAAGCTTTAGAACTGAACCTAGGTGTCAAATGGAGTGTTACCCACTATAATTAATCACCCACTCCTCCCTCATTTTATTTCTCAAGCCCAAAGTCGCTCTTTGAAGTTGGTGGCTTCCATGCCTTGGACGGCAGGGGAGGGGTATTTTTCTTTTTTTTTTTGGGGGGGGGGTATTTTTGCCAGGTCCAGGAACACCAGAGTCCTAGTGTGACAGGGACTACATGGGAAGAAATAGCCTTTCCTCTGTCTGTCTCCCTGTCCTCAAAAGTTTTTGCAGCTGGGTATGGTGGTGACGCAGGCCTGTAATTCCAGCCCTTTGGGAGCCTGAGGCAGGAGGATCAGCTTGAGCCCAAGAATTTGAGACCAGCCTGGGCAACATGACAAGATCCTGTGTCTACAAAAAAAAAAATTAAAAATTAGCTGGGTGTGGTGGTGCATGCCCGTAGTCCCAGCTACTTGGGAGGCTGAGGGAGGATTGCTTTAGCCCAAGAGTTTAAGCCTGCAGTGAGCTATGATCACACCACTGCACTCCAGCCCGAGTGACAGAGTGACACCCTATCTCTAAAACAAAAAGAGTTTTGAGGGAGAAGCAGTTATCCCCATTTTACAGATGTGGACACTGAAGCCCTGAGAGAAGAAGTCACTTGTTCAAGATACACAGCAGAGCTGGGGTTTGAACCCTGGGAGCCTGGCTGTAGCATGTTGTGTCCTCAGACCCCATGCTGCACTGCACCAGCAGCTTCTCATGGGTTGAGCCTGAGGTCGCACAGACTGCCAGGTCGTATACACTAACTGTATCAAAAACACGTGAAACCTCTGGAAAGACTGCAAGATACTCCCCCTCCCCAACATGTAGTCATCTGATTATTGTACATTTAGACCTCCTGAGTTTGGGTATCAACATTCCTATCTGAGGTGTGGGGAGCAGCTTAGCAACTGGTATGGCTATGTCAGTTGCTAAAATATCAACATATTTCCAAAGTGGTTGGTAAGAAGCTGCTGACCTGACTGTCCCCCCACAACCCCAAAGATCCCTCCTTCTCAGCACCCTGGCTCTCCCCTAGGACCCTTCCCAGACAAACCAAGAGACAACGGCTGATGCCGGTTTGGTGGGGGCTTCAGGACCCTGGTGCAGTGCTCCTGCTGCTGACTCTTCTGACTGGTAGTGCTCCAGCTCGCCCTGGTTGCTAAATATTTGGAATATTGTTTCTGGGAGGAGGGGAGGGGCTGAGAAGGCTTGAGGAAGGATGTCTCAGAGAAGGGAGATGAGGGGAGGACAGCCCAGCTGATCCTGAAAGCCACAGAGGAGCAGTTGGGTGGGAAAGCAGTCACCAGCTAGACAGAGGCAGGGGTCATTTTCAATCACTCACTCTGGCTGCAATCCGCTGCTGTCGCATAGCTCACAGCCTCGGTCAGCCCGAAGATGAGCATCCCGAAGTCAGTGGTGGCCTGGGCCACGTGGACCGTGTCAGCCGTGCCAAGCTCCACTTCGGTGTACGAGAACTCGCTGCCTGGCACAACCGCCCAGGTGAGGTTGGCCCCCATTGCCTGCCCATCTATGGTCAGCTCGCTGGCAGCCTTCGTCTGTGCCACCACCAGGGCCACGCCCTCAATGCCTGGCACACTCTTGACCACATAGGCAGGGCAGTAGGACGCCACACTGGGGATCAGGACCAGGAAGGGGTCATAGGTCACGTCATTCCTTATGGCACCTGTGCCAAACAGCAGGACCTGAATGCCCACATCTGCAGACAGGTAGAGTGGCCGGGATGGCCGGACCTCAAACTCTACCACATCACCCTCCTGGAGCCCACGGGAGCCAGCGGTACCCCCGTGGTTGTAGGTCAGCTTTGTGGCCTGGCTAGCCACAACATAAGCCAAATCGAAGCGGGATTGGGAGGCCAGAGAGGCTACTACATAGTGGGTGCCCCAGGCAGATGTGGGTAGCAGCTGCTCCACCACATGGTTGCAGGTCGTGTGTTTCTGGGCACAGCTGTGGCCAGAGAGGACGGCCACGGGACTACTGGCTGTGACCTTTGACCCCGAGAGATTCACTGTGCCCTGGAGCTGGGCCACATTGTAGGGCTGCAGAGTCACACTTAGGACACCGCCTGCTGGGTAGGACTTGCCGTTGAATGTCACCGACCCCTTCAGCTCGACACTGACCGAGGCACCTGCGGCACCGGCCACCACCGCAAACTCCTGGACATTGCTGACTGAGGTGCCGGGGGGTGTGAGCACAAAGTACTCGGTGCCCAGGGCCGGGGTGGGCCGCAGCAGCGTCAGCTCCGCCGTGTTGGGCTTGCTGTTTAGCGCCTGCACAGAGATGGCGCGGTCAGAGCGGACCACCACCGCGTGCTGGAAGGTCTTGCTGCCGATCATCTCAGCCTCGGCACTGATGTTGACCCTGACTGACTCCCTGGGCCTCACTGTGACCTGCTGTGAGGTATTGTCCGCATGGCTGAGGATGACGACTGAGGCAGGGCTCTCTGACAGACTGGAGATAAGGAGGCTGGGGTAGGCGCTGCTGTAGCGGAGCTGATAGTTCTGCAGGAAGGCGGTGAGGAATTCCTCCCCGCCAGAGTTCTTGGAGTACACTGAGGCCCCCTGGGTCAATCCTGGTTGAGAAAACGCAGTGGTGAGTCCACTTACCCAATCCTCCCCACCTCTTGCTCTACACCCGGAAACACGCGGAAATATTAACTTGGGCTTTCTTTTCTTTCCTCTTCTCTTTCTTCGGATCCATGCAGCATTCATCTTTAAGCCTTTCTGGCTTTTGTTTTTCAAAAGTCTGAACACTTTAGACAGGGCCCTGAAACTCAAATGCTGAGGGGGCCAGCCAAGGAATAGAAATGTATGAAACAGTCCCGGAGGGGTGACTATGGAACTGGCCCTCCTACACCATCTAAAGTGGGTTGTTGCTGATGCAAATCAATCAGTTGGATACATCGTATCCACAGAATAATGGACAAAAAACTATACGATCACTTCAATTGATGCCAAAAAAGGCATTTGATAAAATTTAACATCCTGGCCGGGTGCGGTGGCTCAAGCCTGTAATCCCAGCACTTTGGGAGGCCGAGGCGGGTGGATCACGAGGTCGAGAGATCGAGACCAACCTGGTCAACATGGTGAAACCCTGTCTCTACTAAAAATACAAAAAATTAGCTGGGCATGGTGGTGCGTGCCTATAATCCCAGCTACTCAGGAGGCTGAGGCAGGAGAATTGCCGGAACCCAGGAGGCGGAGGTTGCGGTGAGCCGAGATCGCGCCATTGCACTCCAGCCTGGGTAACAAGAGCGAAACTCCGTCTCAAAAAAAAAAAAAAAAAAAAAAAAAAAAAAAAATTTAACATCCTTTCATGATTAAAAACGCTCAAGAAACTGGAAATAGAAGGAACACACCTCAACACGATCAAAGTCATGTACAACAGCCCCACGGCTGGTATCATGCTGAATGGGGAAAACTGAACGTCTGTGCTCTAAGAGCTGGAGCACGACAAGGCTGTCCACTTTCACCACTATTCTTCAGCATATTATTGGCAGTCCTAGCTAAAGCACTTGGACAACAGAAAGAAATAAAGGGCATCCACACTGGAAAAAGAGGTCAAAATCTTTGCCTGCAGATGTTATAATCTTCTATTTAGAAAAAAATAAAGACAGCTGGGCTTGGTGGCTCACACCTATAATCCCAGTACTTTAGAAGACCGAGGCAAGCAAATGAGGTCAGGAGTTCGAGACCAGCCTGGCTAACAAGGCAAAACTCCATCTCTACTAAAAAAAAAAAAAAAAAAAAAAAAAAATACAAAAATTAGCTGGGTGTGGTTGCACATGCCTGTAATCCTAGCTACTTGTGAGGGTGAGGCAGGAGAATCGCTTGAACCAAAAAGGTGGAGGTTGCAGTGAGTCAAGACTGCACTACTGCACTCCAGCCTGGGTGACAGAGGGAGACTCTGTCTTTAAAAAAAATAAAAAACTTGGCTAAAGCCTGTAGTCCCAGCATTTTAGGAGGCCAAAGTAGGCAGGTCACCTCAGGTCATGAGTTCAAGACTAGCCTGGCCAACATGGTGAAACTCCATCTCTACTAAAAACGCAAAAAATTAGCCAGGCATGGTGGTGGGCACCTGTAATCACAGCTGCTTGGGAGGCTGAGGCAGGAGAATTGCTTGAAGCCAGGAGGCGGAGATTGCAGTGAGCCAAGATAGCACCATTCAGCCTGCACAACCAGAGTGAAATTCCATCTCAATAAAAAGGGAAAACCTAAAGACTTCATCAAAAAGCTGTTAGAACTGATAAACAAATCCACTAAACTTTCAGGATATAAAATCAACATACAAAATTCAGTAGCATTTCTATATGCTAACAGCAAACAATCTGAAAAAAAAAAAAAAAGGGAAAGTAATCCCATGTATAGTAGCCACAAATAAAATAAAGTACCTAGGAATAAACCAAAGAAATCAAAGATCTCTGCAATAAAACTATAAAACCATAATGAAAGAAATAGAAAAGGACACACACCAAAAAAACCGGAAATATATTCCATGTTCATGGATTGGAAGACACAATATTGTTAAAATGTCCTTACTACCCAAAACAATCTACAGATTCAATGCAATCCCTATGAAAATACCAATGACATTCTTCACAGAAATAGAAGACTAATCTCAACATTTATATGAAAACACAGAAAGCCAACACCATTCCGAGCATAAAGAGCAAAACTGGAAGAATCACATGACCTGACTTCACATTATACTACAAAACTATAGTAACCAAAACAGTGTGGTACTGGCATAAAAACACACATATGGACCAGTGGAACAGAATATAGAACCCAGAAACAAATCCACCAACCTACAGTGAATTCATTTTTGGAAAAGGTGCCAAGAACATACACTGCAGGGAAAGACACTCTATTCAATAAATGGTGCTGGGAAAACTGGATATCCATATGCTGAAGAGTGAAACTAGACCCCTATCTCTCACCATATGCAAAAATAAAATCAAAATGGATTAGAGACTTAAATCTATGACCTCTGACTATGAAACTACTACAAGAAGACATTGGAGAAACTCTCCAGTTCATTGGTTTGGACAAAAATTTCTTGAGCAATACATCAAAAGCACAGGCAACCAAAGAAATATGGACAAATGAGATTACGTCAACGTAAAAAGCTTCTGCTCAAAAGAGGAGACAGTTCACGAAATGAAGATGCAACTGACAGAATGGGAGAACATATTTACAACCCGTCTAGCTAAAGCAATTAGATAAGAGAAGAAATAAAGGCATCCACATTGGAAAAAAAGTTGAATTATCCTTGTTTGCAAATGATACAATCTTATATTTAGAAAAACCTAAAGACTCCGTCAAACAGCTATTAAAACTGATAAATTCACTAAATTTGCAGGATACAAAATCAACATACAAAAATCAGTAGCATTTCCATATGCCACTGACAAGGGATCAGCGACCAGAATGTAAAAGGATCTCAAACAACTCAATAGGAAAAAAAATCAAATAATCTGATTGTGTGTGTGTGTGTGTGTGTGTGTGTGTGTGTGTGTGTGTGTCTGAGATGGGGTCTCGCTCTGTCACCCAGGCTGGAATGCAGTGGCATGATCTTGGCTCACTGCAACCTCCACCTCCTGGGTTCAAGCAATTCTCTTGTCTCAGCCTCCCAAGCAGCTGGGATAACAGGCATGCACCACCACACCCAGCTAATTTTTGTGCTTTTAGTAGAGACAGGGTTTCACCATGTTGGACAGGTTGGTCTTGAACTCCTGACCTCAAGTGATCTGCCTGCCTCGACTTCCCAAAGTGCTCGGATTACAGGCATGAGACACCACACCCAGCTTAATCTGATTTAAAAATAGGCAAAAGAGGCGGGGTAGAGTGACTCACGCCTATAATCCCAGCACTTTGGGAGGCTGAAGTGGGTGGATCACAAGGTCAGGAGTTCAAGACCAGTCTGACCAACATGAAGAAACCCCTGTCTCTACTAAAAATACAAAAATTAGCCAGGCATGGTGGTATATGCCTGTAATCCCAGCTACTCGAGAGGCTAAGGCAGGAGAATTGCTTGAATCTGGGAGGTGGAGGTTGTGGTGAGCTGAGATCACATCATTGCACTCCAGCCTGGGCAACAGAGTGAGACTCCATCTCAAAAAAAAAAAAAAAAAGAAAAAAGAAAAAAAAAACAAAAACCGGGCAAAAGATCTTAATAGACATTTCTCAAAGAAGACATACACATGGCCAGCAAGAATATGAGAAAAATGCTCAACATCACTAATCAGCAGAGAAATGCAAATTAAAACTACAAGACAGTATCGTCTCACCCAAGTTAAAATGGCTTTTATCCTAAAGAAAGGCAATAATGAATGCTGGTGAGCATAGGGAGAAAAGAGAACCCCCCTACACTGTTGGTGGGACTGTAAATCAGTACGATCACCATCAACAATAGTATGAAGGTTTCTGAGAAAACCAAAACTATAACTACCGTGGGTCCAGCAATCCCAGTGCTGGATATATATATTTGAAAAAAAGGAAGTCAGTACATCCAAGAGACATCTGCTTTCCCATGTTTACTGCAGCACTATTCATAACAGCCAAGATACGGAATCAACCTAAGTGTCTATCAACAGATGAATGGATAAAGGAAATGTGGCACATACAGACAATGGAGAATTATTCCGCCATAGAAAAGAATGAGATTAGCCAGTGCGGCGGCTCAGGCCTGTAATCCCAGCATTTTGGGAGGCCAAGGCAGGTGAATCACCTGAGGTCAGGAGTTTGCGGCCAGCCTGGCCAACATGGTGAAACGCCGTCTCTACTAAAAATACAGAACTTAGCTATGCATGGTGGCATGCGCCTGTAATCCCAGTTACTCAGGGGGCTGAGGCACGAGAATCGCTTGAACCTGGGAGGCGGAGGTTGCAGTGAGCTGAGATCACAGCGCTGCACTCCAGCCTGGGCAACAGAGTGAGACTCGATCTCAAAAAAAAAAAAGAATGAGATCTGGTTATTTGCAACAACATGGATGGAACTGGAGGACATTATGCTAAGTGAAATAAGCCAGCACAGGAAGACAAATCTCACATGCTCTCATTCATATAGGGGAGTTTAAAATTTTAACTGATGAACTCATGGAGATAGAGCGTAAAATGATGGTTACCAGAGGTTGGAAAGGATAGTGGGGGGAGTCGGGGATAAGTAGAGATGGTTAATGGGTACAAAATTACAGTTAAACAGTTAAATAAAATGAATAAAATCTAGTATTAGTAGCAGAACAGGATGGCTATTGTTAAAAGTAACTTACGGCATATTTTAAAATAACTGAGTGTGGAATTGGAATGTTCCTAACACAAAGAAATGACAAATGCTTGAGGTGAAGGAAGCCCTAGTTACCCTGATTCTATCATTACACACCATATGCCTGTATCAAAATATCACAGGTACCCCATAAATGCATATAACTATTAGGTACCCATAAAAATAAAAAATTTTTAAATATATAAATTAGTAAAAAATAATAATAATAATACAGTGGGTTGTCGGTACTAGCTTTCACCTGTTACAATGAAAGAATGTGAGCTTTTTAAAAATGTAAGACCTTCCTGTTTTTCTTTTTTTTTTTTTTCTTTTGAGACGGAGTACAATGGCATGACCTCAGCTCACTACAATCTCTGCCTCCTAGGTTCGAGTGGTTCTCCTGCCTCAGCCTCCCGAGTAGCTGGGATTACAGGCATATGCCACCACACCCGCTAATTTTGTATTTTTAGTAGAGACAGGGTTTCACCATGTTGACCAGGCTGGTCTTGAACTCCTAACCTTAGGCGATTCACCTGCCACAGCCTTCCAAAGTGCTGAGATTACAGGCATGAGCCACCATGCCCAGCTGATCTTCCTGTTTTTAAAGAGAAACTGGCTATCTGAATTTTCATGTGAAATCTCCAACCCACAATTCTTTTAAACACTGTGGGGCTCAAGGTGGATGTACTCTGCTGCCAGTGTGTGATTTCCATCTTTTTGCAAGCTAGAGCGCAGTGGCTCAAACACAGTACACTGCAGCCTCAGCCTCCTGGCTCAAGGGATCCTCCTATTTCAGCTTCCCATATAGCTGGGACCAAAGGCACGCACTATGTGCCTGGCTCATTTTTTTGATTTTTTTGTAGAGGCAGGGCCTTACTTTGTTGCCCAAGCTGGTCTTGAACTCCTGAGCTCAAGTGAACCACCTGCCTCAGCCTCCCAAAGTGCTAGGATTACAAGCATGACCCACTGCACCCAGCTGATTTTTGTTTTAATAGGACTTGCGGGAGCCGGGCACAGTGGCTCTTGCCTGCAACCCCAGCACTTTGGGAGGCCAAGGCGGGTGGATCACTTGAGGTCAGGAGTTCGAGACCAGCCTGAGCAATGTGGTGAAACCCCATCCTCTACTAAAAATACAAAATTAGCTGAATGTGGTGTCGCGGGGTGCCTGTAATTTTAGCTACTAGGGAGGCTGAGGCAGGAGAAATCGCTTGAACCTAGGAGGTGGAGGTTGCAATGAGCTGAGATTGTGGCATTGCACTCCAGTCTGGGCTACAAGAGCAAAACTCTGTCTCAATAATAATAATAATAATAACAACAACAATAATAAGACTTAGGGGGTTGTGAAAAGGGATAAAGGGAAGAAGGGGATTTGGGAAGTGTGGACAAATTGTCTGCTAGAAATAGATGGCAGTGGGAGCTTCTGACCACTCCCAACTAGGAAGAGAGCCCCTAGAGCTGAGAAGAGAGAGAAGAGGTCTAAGGAATCTTGAAGAAAGTGTGGGGGTTATGGAATGACCAACTTCCATATAAAGGGGGCCTCCATATCCCAGCAGGCCAGGGGATCAGGAACAATGGGCATTTCAGAAGTCACCTAGGTGGATGCTGACTGGTGACTAGAGGACCCTTGTAGCCCATCTTTCTCCCAGTACTTTGGCTTTCTATAAAATTTTAGTTCTGGATACATCCCTGGGAGCACTGGGGATAACACCCTCCAAGAATGACTTTCGTGAAATTTTCCATCAACTCAGCAGAATGAGGCTCAGAGTCCAAACCTTAGTTTAGTTGCAGAAAACCAAGAAAGTTCTTGGACACGTGGGTTTGGGGACTAAGGTTTTCACCAGCTCCCATCCAGAAAAGGGTAAGAATGGATGAATTCTGCCACATTCCTCTACAGAGTCTAAGGGCCTCTCTCCTCTCTCGGCTGGCCTGGGGTGACATGCGGAGGAGGCACACATGGAAGGTGTGAACCCAGGCGAGGGTCTCGGTCAGACTTACCCCACAGGAGGGTTGCTCCAGCCCAGAGCGTCCACCAGCTCCACAGGGGACCCATGGCTGTAGTAGGAAAAGAGAAGGGATTATAGAAGGCTGATCTGCCACCTCTGCTGGAGACTGTCCTGGGCAGAAGGGCCCACCCTCAGGACAAGGGCCACCTGGGAGCAGGAAAGCTGAGGTGGGGAACGAAGTCAGGCAAACGGGGCCAGCTGGGCTGGATCCGAGGACCAGTGTGTGTAGGGGAGGCCGGCTGTCCGGTGGGTCTGGAGGTGGGATGGGGAGGGCAGGAGCCAGGGACAGGGGGTGCGGAGTTGGCTGTCTAGTGGGTCTAGGGGTAGGACAAGGAGGCCTACAGCCAAGGGCAAGAGTAGGGGACCTGCCGTCCCACTTCCAAAGGGGTCCCCAGCCCTTCTCACCTGCAGGTCCCTGGAGCTGCAGGGCCAGCTGTAGGGCAGGGCTATATAGTGGCATTTCTGGGCCCCTCTGGCCACACCTTGGGCCACGTGCCAGGCAGGTGATGCCAACTTCCTGGAGGCCAGATGACACAGGGAACTGTGAAGGCCTGGGAAGAGGGTGAGTCTGGATGCCTGGGCTCCAACAAGGGAGTGAGGACGGCTGGTGGCCACTCCCTGGAAGCTTTCTGGGAAGTTTGGTCCTAGAAGGGTGGGGTCCCTGAGGGAGACAGCTGGGGAGCAGGGAGCTGAGTACCTGAGTCCCTGGGCAGAGGTGGGGTTGGGTGGGGTGGGGGTGTGGACGGCGAGGGCAGGAAGTGGCATATGGCCGTATTTGCTGGCTTAGCAGCTATATTCCTTCCTTTGTCTCCCGCCAGAAATAACAGTGAGAGACCCATATCCGGGTCCTGGTTCCTCCTCAGTCCCCACAACCTGAGGAGTCCCTGGCCACCCACATCCTGCTTCCAGACACCAGTGGGAGCAGGTGTCTGGGGTGGGCAGAGTCTGAGGGTATGGAGCGGGACACAAGACCGCCACCGCAGGCCAGCGCGGCCTCTGGGGTTCTCATCTACAAAATGGGAACCCCAAAACCAGCCTCTCTGGGCATCTTTACATCCCAGAGACATAAAGAAGTTCTCGAGGACTGTAGAGCTGGGAGGCAGCCTCTTCTGGTGCAGACCCAGGCAGGGATGCAGGAGGCCATCGGGCTGAAGGGACAATGGCCTCTGCTTCCCAGCCCCACACAGACACCTGGATTCTACTTCTGACTCCAGACACCTGCCCCTCAATGGTGCTGGAAACAGGATACGGGTGTCCAAGGACTCCCCAGCCTGGGGGGCTGACGAAGAGCCAGGACCTATTGGTTTTGGAGAAACTGAGGTTTTTTGTTTTGGGTTTTTTTGTTTGTTTTTGTTTTTCTGTAGGCAGGGTTTGCTCTTAGCAGGGGCTAGCTGAGCAGCGTTAGGGAACTCTGTGCCTCGCCATCACTCCAGAATTTGTCTGAGATGGGAGGTGGAGGTCTAGGTTGCACACAGGAGTAGAATGAGCCAAAAGCTGGGCTTTCTCAGATGGAGTCAGTTCCTCCGAGGGGCTGGCCTGATCCATGCCCAGCTTGCCTTCTCCCTGACCTGGGATTTCATTGTTTGCTGGGGAGTCACCCCTGGGGCCAGCAGCTGCAAAGCCTGGGTGTTGGACCAACACCCTAGCAGCTGCTGGCCCTGGGGCTCCTCCTCTCTTATCACAGGGGCCTGCGCCTCTGGGTGGCCAGAGTGGGTGGCTGGGTGGAGGCATCTCTCTCCCTGGGGCTCTGATCCATCCCCACACCCACCCAAGGCATAAGATAAAGGCTCAGAGTTGACTGGAACATAAAGTCAACCAGGAAAATGGAGTGAGTATAAATAGGAGGCTGGCTAAAAGCCAGAGATAACGAGCAACAAGCAGGCCGTGGGGGACCCACAGGAAGTGGAAGCTTTGGGAAAAGGGTGCGTGGGTCCCTGGGGGGATCTAAAGGTTGATGGAAGGGGCTGCTGGGTCCCTGAGAGAGATAAGGACTTGGAAGAGGAGATACCAGGATTCCCAGGAGGAAACAGCAATTGCAAAGCAAGCTGTGAAGATTCTCTGTGTGAGGCCAGGCACAGTGGCTCAGTTTAAAATTCCAGCACTTGGCTGGGCGCAGTGGCTCAAGCTTGTAATCCCAGCACTTTGGGAGGCCAAGGCGGGTGGATCATGAAGTCGAGAGATCGAGACCATCCTGGTCAACATGGTGAAACCCCGTCTCTACTAAAAATACAAAAAATTAGCTGGGCATGGTGGTGCGTGCCTGTAATCCCAGCTACTCAGGAGGCTGAGGCAGGAGAATTGCCTGAACCCAGGAGGCGGAGGTTGCGGTGAGCCGAGATCGCGCCATTGCACTCCAGCCTCGGTAACAAGAGCGAAACTCCGTCTCAAAAAAATAAATAAATAAATAAAAAATTCCAGCACTTTGGGAGGCTGAGGCAGGAGGATTACTTAAGGCCAGCAGTTTGAGACCAGACTGGTTGAAGACCAACATATTGAGACCCTGTCTCTACAAAAAATACAAAAATTAGCCAGGCACGGTGGTATACACTTGTAGTCCCAGCTACTTGGGAGGCTGAGGCAGAAGGATCACTTGAGGCCACGAGGTCAAGACCAGCCCGGGAAACATAGTGAGACCTTTTCTCTACAAAAAATACAAAAATAAACTGAGTGTGGGGGCGTGCACCTGTAGTCTCAGCCATTCAGGAGGCTAAGGTGGGAGGATTGCTTGCTCTGTCAACAGGCTACAGTGCAGTGGCATGATCTCGGCTCACTGCAACCTCCACCTCCTGAGCTCAAGTGATTCTCCTGCCTCAGCCTCCCGAGTAGCTCAGATTACAGGATTGCGCCACCATGCCCAGCTATTCTTTTTTTTGGTTTTTTGTATTTTCAGTAGAGATGGGGTTTAACCATCTTGGCCAGGATGGTCTCGAAATCCTGACTTCATGATCCACCAACCTCAGTCTCCCAAAATGCTGGGATTATAGGCGTCAGCCACCACGCCCAGCCATCCCTCTTGCAGTTTGAGACACTCAGAGACAAATGAGAAGTGAAGGGGAAAAAGGGGAAGGTGAGCTGCATGGGTGTTTCTGGCCCTCAAGTCTCTGCAAGCCTTGGGGTTTCCCCTGGTTGACCACAGAGAGAAGCTTCTTGCCTTCAAAATTCACCATCACTCTCCACAGCCAGAGTCCCCAGAAATGGGGTGGTTGCGGTGGGAGATCTCACAAATTAATACTCTATATTTGACAATCCCCTGAGATCTTCTTTCTCACTCCTTTTAGGGCCCAAGGGGTGCTTGTGTGTTTATGTTAGGACACACCCCTGTGCCTTACCCCATATTATATCAATTATCAGGAACCCCGCTGGTGACCCAGGAAATAAACTCTGCGGACACTTCCTTATGGTCCGAGAAACTGCATCCATCCCTCTATTGGCAGTCTTGCTCTGAACCCATTTGTGTGTCTGAGCCTTTCGGCCTCTCCCCACTTATCTGCCTCTACCTCCCTAAAGTATTTGCGCCCGCCATGCCACCCCAGAGCCCTGAGCCCCTCTGACTTGTATCAGCTTTATAGACTGGAGCACAATGGGAGAGAATTTGCTCTCTCCACCTACATTCAGGCTTGTGAGCAACTTCTAACTTTATTCCTTTACGCTCTGGATCCCACAGTCTGACTTCCATACGCACTGAAAGTTCCTGCTCAACTCTCCAATTACCGATTATTTGCCACTTGACTCTAGTTCCTTTCCTGTAACATTTGACATTCACACTTCCTTTCCAAAGTTGTCTAATGCCGATCCAACACCTATGACACCTATTCAACAAGATAGACCATATTTTGGATAATAAAGCAAACCAGAGGCCAGCACAGTGGCTCACACCTGCAATCCTAGCACTTTGAGAGACCAAGGCGGGCGGATCACCTGAGGTTGGAAGTTCGAGACCAGCCTGACCAACATGGAGAAATCCCATCTCTATTAAAAGTACAAAATTAGCTAGGCGTGGTGGCACATGCCTGTAATCCCAGCTACTTGGGAGGCTGAGGCAGGAGAATCACTCGAACCCGGGAGGTGGAGGTTGCGGTGAGCCAAGATCATGCCATTGCACTCCAACCTGGGCAACAAGAGCAAAACTCCATCTCAAAATAAAATAATAAAATAAAATAAAGCAAACCAGAATAAAATCAAAATAATTGAAATTCTATGGGAGATGTTCTCTGAGCATAATGGAATAAGCTTGAAATCAATAACTAAAAAACAGGAAAATCTCCACTCACAAGTGAGAGAATAAAACCTTTTGGGTCAATTTGGAACTTTTTGGAAACTCTAGCATGGAAAAAGGTCGATACAGGTACTTCAGCCACATCGGGAGGCTGTGTTCAAAGTATCCGTTACCTGTTCAACCACATTCCAATATTGCTGGCAAGATCGATAGAAACTAGGAAGCCACCACCAGAAAGAGAAAATTCCATGACTCATTGCCACAGGACTAGGGGAAAACTCCTTGGCAACTCAAAAGGAAAAATGAAGTGACTCGTGGTCACAAGCCCTCTCCCCACACAGGACTAGGGGGCGAACACTCAGCAACTCAAAATTACTTGGGGATAGAAGCCCAGGCAGCCCTAATCAACAGCGGCAGCCCTCTCCGGTCCCCTTCCACCCTTCCATGCTGTGGAAGCTTTTACTTTCGCTTGCTCAATAAACTGCATTGCTGCTCACGCACTCTCGGTCCGCAAACGCTTGTTTAAAGCTCGGACACTCACTGTGGGGGTAAGGCTCTCTGCTCAATTCTTCGAGCAAGGAAAGCCAAAAACCTAAGCCCGAAGCCCACGCTGGGCACGGGAGAGGCCCTCCTCAAAGCCACCTGTAAACCCTACAACAACAAATCTGGTTATACAAGGATATGAAGCAACTCCCTTCTGAATAATCCATGGGCCAAAGAGAAGGTCTCAAAAATACAGAGGATCAAATGAAAATGAAAAGAACACGTTTCAAAATACGTGGGATATAGCTAAAGGGAAATTTGTCGCATTAAATATTTACATCAGGAAAGAG